CTCTCTCCAGGAACCTACGTGAGCACTCGGACCTGGCCACACATGCACACGTTCACCACACTAATTAGCAGTGTGGCAAGTTTTTTTGATGGCAGGATCTTCCAGTGTCAATCAAAAAAAAAATCACACCAGAAAAAGGCTGGGTGATGCATGTGGTGGCAGCATGTGCCACTTGAACCTGGAGCCTGACTGGCCAGAGCAATCCTCTGGCTGCTGGCCAGGCTCCACACGCCCAGATTGCTGCCACTGTAACCCCAGGAGACCCACAGGAAAGGCTGATGGTGCCAGCCCAGGTACTGGACCCAGCCTCCCTTACCCCACCTGGGGCAACTTGCCATGCACCAAAGCGCACATGCAGGGACATTTCCCAGGGACAAATAGCAGTGGCACAGATATGTGCCATTGCAATCTGTCCCTAGGGAAATGCATGTTCCCACTTGTGAAGACACCCCTTAAGAGTCCTTCCCCAAAAGTATTCTATTTGAATTTATCCTTCCTGAGCACAGTATTCCAGATGTCAATTTACTCGTGCCTTGAACAATAGTATCCATAAAGAGAGGCAGTACTTCCCGTAAAATTTCCTAATTCATTTTTAATCCAACTTGGTCTTCTATCTGAATGTTTCCCTTACTACTGTTATGCACTGGATACATCTTTTGACTGAGCTGCTCATAATACTTGCTAAGTCCGTGCCTCCAACCCTGTGCTTTCCCCCACCTCTGAAAAAAATGCAAAAATCTTACTACGCTGCTGCTGAGTTCTGAGCCTGGACTATTTTTTGTCAATGTACATAATCTTAGGAAATCCAAATTAAGGGTACTGTGACTGTCACTGTGTTGAAAGTCAATCCTTCAGAGCTTTTATGAACCAAAATAATTTGGGGTGACTGATCATAGCACTTTACAAGGAATTCATCTTATACATGGGACTAAGAGTAACATTTACTTATTTTGTTCACTTCTCTCTACATTTTTAAATGCAATTTTAACTATGTTCCACTATTACCTTCTTTCTGTCTGGGAGTGCTGCTGTTTAATACATGGTTGTTTCCAGCTGATGGGGTCAGCAATCTTTTGCCACTGTGAACCTGAATTTGGAGTTTGGCTCCTACTGCTAGCCACAAATCTTCCTTCCCAGTGCCCAACCTGCCTGCACTTATCCATGCCATTGATCCCTAGCTCCTCTGCAGCAAAGTCAGGCACAAGAGAACAGCAGAAAGGTCTGTAGAGGGAACAGGTGGCACAGTAAAACTGCACGCTGTCTGACCCCCTGTGTCACTCAAGGCCAGGCTGGATCTTTGTGGGCTGGATCTGCCTCTAGAACCAAAGTTTGCCAAACCATATCAGAGGACACTGTCCTTTCTATACAGTCATTATTTGTTTCTCTCAGTAATTTCATGAGAGGATTCATAAAAACAAAAGAATACAAATTAAAATTTGACCAATCCTTTGTAAATTTTATTAACATTTCGAAAACAAAGAGGAAATGCACAAAAAGGTTTCTTCTAATGCAACATAGTACTTTACCCATAAACAAAGTATTTCCCTGAAATGGGGTGGAGTTCACCACACTCTGATTTCCCTTTGGGCCTCTTTTTAAGGGGTAACAGCAACTTTGACACTTTCCTTTACTAGGGATCAATCACTGTTTTTACAGGGCTATTGAATACCTTTAGTAGGTACATTTCCCATTTAATTTCTTTCAGATCTCCTAACAAGCAACACTTAGTGATTTTCCATCTGCTGCTTAAAAATTGATATTAAGAGTTCCCACTGACTCAAATGTTCCAGATACAGGAGACCAATAAAAATTTTTTTGGCCAATACCAATGGCTGATTATTGATCAGCCATATCAGTCAATACTGATCCAAATGCCAATACGTAGCCTGGCAGCTTGGAGAACACGCCAGCTGGTAAGTCTGTGTGAGGGAAGGAGGGGGGCAGATTGAGACCCCCACAGTAAGAGAGGGAGTGGAGCTGGTGCAGGTGCTGCCCAGTCAGGGTGGGGCAGAGCATGGGATACAGCCAGCAGCACAACCAGAGGTGCAGGGGAGGGGCCAGAGGAGTGAACGAGGAGGGCTGCCACTGTTGCACACACCCCAGGAGAGGCATGGAATGTGTATGCCAGATCTGTGCGCAGGGTGAGGATGAGCTGCTGCTGCACGCTCTCACTCAGGGGCTGCATTGTACACTGGGCTCTTCCCAGTGGCTGCACTTGGAGTGAGTGGGGCAGGCAGCAGCGGCGCTGGAAGGGGAGACTATGATGGGGGGGCTAGAGCCACCCCAGTAGCCCCCCTACCAGTGCTGCTGCCACCTACCTGGCCTGAGTGAAGCCCCTGGGAAGAGCCCAGCACAGCCCCCGAATGTGAGCACACAGCAGCAGCCCACCTTTCACCTGCACACAGACCCCAGGGGGGCACACACCCCCATGCCTTCCCCAGGGTGTGCACAGTGGCAGGAGCCACCCCCATAACCC